ATGTGGACGTACCGGCTGCTGTAGCGGCACGTAGTCACGAATATTATGACGTCCGTGTAGTCGAACTACAAGTAGGGTGCGTTTCAAGTACATGATCTCTTTAGACATCTGCGAGTAATAAAAAAGTAGCTTCTTAAAGATTAGTAAATGAAAATGTAAATAAACAAATGTTCAGGCAACACATAAGCTTGTGAACTATACCGTGTAGCGAATTATTAGGACTACTAGACGTGAATGACATTATACTGAACAAATTAAAATATCAGACGAAGAATGTGTCGTGCGTGTTTTAAACAGACAGTTATTATGGCAGAAGTTGACTGCGCAGATATTTACTTGTTTGAACACAAGAAGTACGTTTCGGCTATAACGTCCAAAATTATACAAATTATTTAGATGTAAGGATGACTCTATCAGGTACCGGTACTGTGCCAACATTTCGAGTATTGTAGGATAGTTTTGCAGTTTTTTAAAGTATTTGTTTAAATATTAATGTTACAGAATGTTTTTCTTTTTACGTTTTGAACTGTTGCTTTTTCTATTGTTTTAGCAGTGCAATATTTGTTTGTTCGTCTAACGATATACTCAAGAAAGCACCTGCAAGGTGTCTCCAAATTTATAAGTTACTAAGAAAGTAAGAGCGAGCACAGTGAATTTGGAGATACGTTGCACCTTGTTGGTGTCTGGCAAGACTGAGTAACATAGAATAGCATTAGTTTTTGACTGACTTCCCAAAAGAAGGAGGTACTCAATTCGTCGATATATTTTTTTGTACAACACGTTTTGTCTCCTATTGTGAATACATAAGTTATTTGTTAACTTCCGTTACTTTCTGTTTCCACGATCTAATGTACTTTTGTATATTGTATCGCTAGAATATTTGGTAGAAAGCGATGATTTATCAGTTATTATAAAATACGTAGCTTGATTTGGATTTATTTAATTTTATTACAATTTGCCATTATTTTTGGTATCTGGCAACCTTTTAGTACATTCAGTATTCAGAATAGTATTTTACATATAAAGTGATATTACAATATTGCAATAATAAATGTACGAAGCGCATAAAATGTTATTAAATGTAGTTATATCCCGAATCGACTTTTATTTTCGATTCCATAAAGTTGTCACAGAGCTGAATGTTAACCTTTAAATGCATGATTTTTTATTTAATTATAAAATCAATATTTCAGTATAGGCTTTGAGTCACAGATTAAGGTAAAAATAATAAAAAAAAGTCATGGTTTCAATAAAAACTATAATTTTGTTCGTAGACTTTTGGCAACAATATGCATTTAAGGGTTAAACGAGGGCCTTAACTTTTAACAAAAATCTGCACAAAAGCTGCAGCCAGATATTAAAAAAATGTATAATGAGCAGAGTTAAAACATTTATTTCACATAATTTCAGTAGCGCTACCTGCGCTGCCGGTGTTCGATACTCAAAGGACAAACTAACGCATCTGTTACTGAATAGGACAACTTATCAATATATAAATGGATGGTTTTAATTTTTACGTTTGATAATATTTACTTTTGACTTATTTATTTGAAATTTGTAAAAAATATTTTAACGATAATAATTTTGGTGACAATAATTTACAATCTATATCTATCTCTCTCTCTCTCGTCGAGAAGTTTAATTATTTTAAAATACTTCATCAACAGATAGCGATAGTTTGTTTGTTATTTTGAGTTTCGGACACCAGGTAGAGCTAGCTAGTAAATAGAAAATATCGTTCAAGAGAAATGTTGTTATGGTTCCTCTATAAATTTTCGAATCTCTGCTTTGGCTGAAACTTTCTAAATTAAGGGAAAATAATAATCTGAAGGAAACTTAATTTTTTATTCGTCATAATTAAAATATTTTGTCACTTAAAACGATAAGTAAAAGTTAGTCTTTGTTGGGTATTATAATTTATCAGGTTAAAAAAAAACAATCCGTCTAAAAAAATTAGTAAAATATTTGACAATAAAAAAAAAATCCATGGTACCGATGATAAATTTTTATTAGATTTATTTGCACGTATTTTATCGGGTTTGCCTCTTTGACGTACACTATGGAATCCGCCGCCTCGAGACTTGTATGGAACAAGACGTTTTCATAGAAGCGCCACGTGGTGCGGGGGGCAGCTAGGTGGTGTAGGAGATGGCGCTCTTGAAGTCGATGCCGAAGATGGCCTTGCAGGCCGCCTGCGCCGCCGCGCGCCGCGCCTCCTTCTTGTTGGACGCTGGAAACAAAGTATTTAACTATCACTCTCCTGCCCACCTGATACAGATGCAAACATACCACATGCTATAAGAAGTGGCTCATATCAGTGAGGAGGTGTGAAGTCGGCGGCTGACCCTTGCCGACGTAGGTGGCGCCGTCGACGTCGAGCGCGAAGGTGTAGAGCATGTTCTGCGGGCGGTCGCCCTGCGCCGCCAGCTCGCGGTACTCCAGCGCCGGCCGCATGTAGGTCAGCAGCATGCAGGGGTGCATGCTGCTGGCGTCCGCCGGCAGCGTCTTGGCCTTCTTCGGGCCGCGCGCCGCCCGCGCCGTCTGCGCCGGCTGCGCCGTCTGCGCCGTCTGCGCCGACTGCGCCGAATGCGCCGTCTGCGCCTCCTGCGACAGCTCCGGCTCGGACCCTAGCTGAAATATGATGCATTTCCTAATGAACATATCCTACAAGGAGCGGGAGAGAGCCGAGAGTGTGGAAGTGTGGGAGTGCAAGGCGTGTGGGTATGCAGGGAGTGTGGGAGTGCATGGAGTATGGGCGTGCTGGAGTCCGGGGAGTGTGGGAGGGTGCGGAGTGTAGGAGTGCGTTGAGTGTGGGAATGCGGGGAGTGCCGGGAGTGTGAGAATGCGGGTTGTGCTGGGAGTGCCGGGAGTGCCGGGAGTGTGAAAATGCGGGTAGTGCGAGAGTGCTGGGAGTGCCGGGATTGTAGGAGTGCGGGGAGTACGTACCGCGGTCGTGAGCGACCTGAACTGCGGCACCTTGTGGCCCTCCACCTCCCACTCGCAGAACAGCTTGTGCAGCGCGAAGGACGCCAGCTGGATCATCGGCAGCGGCTCCTCCTCGCACTCCTCGCCGATGCTACCCACTGACGTCATACACCACATACACAAAACTAAATTCAAAACCCTGCCAGACAAGTAAACATTTTCTTTGAATTGTGTTCATATGACTTACTAGTTCGATGTCGCTCCACACATTGCAACATCGAACCGGTGAGTCGAGTGGTGATGTTCACATACCCTCGCTGGCGATGACCTTGGTCATCTTCTTGATGATGAGGTCGCGTATGGCCTGCTCCGCCGCCGCGTTGCGCGCCGACAGTTTGTTCTCACCTGGTAAAATATTTGTATTGCAGTCCAATACAACTGACAGTTTTATAATTACGAGGCAGCCACTCGACCTCACATACGTACTTACACAGATGTGATGTAGTTTTAACATACCAAAGCCCTTGTAGTTGTTCCCCTCCAGCGTGAGGTTGGCGCGGTAGGAGTGCGGCTTCACGTATTGGCCCGCACTCGACACCGTCTCCACTTTGAAATTCTGCAATCAACAACACTACAGCAATCTACTTTACACCTCTCTTACTTCATTTCCTCTGTTTGACATTAATTATTCTAAAACATGTAAAGTAATGCTTTGAACTTTGAGAAGAACAGCTAAGGGAGTGTACTGACGGAGGCGAGCTGGTCCTTGGGCAGCATCTCGTTGAGCACCATGAGCGCGTTCTTCGGCGTGAGCAGCCGCCGCAGCGTCTCGTTCTGCCGCCGCCGCCGCTCCTTGTTGGTCACTTTCTTCACTGCACACCAACACAACTTTACACGAACTTACTCATTGAACTTACCCCGTGCTCTGGACAGACTTAACAATATGTATTGCACACTTCTTTGAAGAGTATAAGGTCACATCGTTCAATTCATACCTCCACCTAGCTTGGACTTCATCCACGGCGGACGACTCTCCTCATTGTTGGTGGACACATTTACTTCTGCTTTCATCTCTTGATCACTATCCTGTTAAACGATCATCTTTTACTACATCAAGTTGGCGAGCGAAAAATTTATATTCCACCAAACTATACCTGGAGGTCACGTTGTGCTGGGTTTTCCGCTTTATGCTCCTCGGGCTCATACGCTTGCTGAGGAAAAAGGTATGCCAGTCACAATAATAAGTACAGTATCAGTAACATACAGGTGATTCTTAATGGACTGATCAATGGTTTAGTGGAGTTAGAGGACCTTGATAGCTGTCGATAAAGCGCAAAGTATGTTGCTCGATATTCTGTAGTTTTAAAGTTCTCTATAGTTTTAATGAAATGAAAAATAAGTCAAAAATATTACTTTTTGGACTTTTAATTCTCATATGCTTTGTATGACAGTTACAAGTAGTATTGTCTACATAGTAACATATGGGTGTTGTTAGCTTAGCTTTAAGGATCTCTTGTAATATACTTGTCCTGGTTCAACTCGACATGCATTTCAAATATTTTATGTACATTAATCTGACATTCAGAAAAGAAAGACATCATCATGGTTGACTGAGGTCTAGTTCCCTCTATAGGCGCCAAGCAATATAAACATCCAACAAAAAAATTACACCACCCTCGATAACCACAAATATTGACAACTATAACACTCAATGTCTGTATGTACTCACGGTGGTTTCGACCTGGTTGGGACGCCGCAGCTGATCCGGGTTGGCAGTCAGCCACGAGCCCTGGACGCCACACCAGCCGTCAGCGGCATTGTTGCCTCGACAGTACTGCCCCCTGCCCCCCGCACAATCATACACACACACACTACTACCAAATTATAACTATAATTTGACTTTACAAATATAACAAATAGTAATTCAAACACAATCTCTCTATTAATTAACTAACTATGTAAGTTAAGGGTATAAGACTGAATCTAATCAGAGTTAATTTCAAAATGAATTACCAACTTTTAAGGAAATATCATTACATAAATGTTATAAATGTGTGACACAAATGATATGCAACTTTTATGTAAACAGTGTGGCGATAGCTATTAAAACTGCATGGATAAATCAATTAACCATTAGAAAAAATCAATGGACATCCATCAACAATCACACAAGAGGGCAGCTGACATTTACTATCGTCTCTATACTACTACCATGTGACCACCCAGTGAAGTTACACCAAACAACATTATTACTAACCTCTTGCATGTCACCTATCTAATGAAAACAGTTACATTTCTTATGTACCCCTTAAGAGATGTTACCCCTTTCAATAAATAGGCTGATTTAACATCCAAGTGGTTATCTAAATTTGGGTACATCAGAGGGTAATAACATTATAGCAACATAGAGAAGCATACTGTGTCTAGAGAAATCTATATGTACACAGAACTTATGTCTCATGTACATAATGCATTCTCATCCTTGGCTATGCTCTGAGAGGCGCAAACCCATTACATACTAATTAATTTAAGTAAATTCAATATCATAGGGATTGTTTAGCATTATTGATGCACTAATCACCTATGATATCTCATGCATACGATCTGAGCTCAGTCAGAGATTAGCTGGTGACTTTGTGATGCCAGCGCCAAGGTCTGATGCTCGGGGCCGCGCTGTGGTAAATATATTCATCATCAAATGTTTTGCAAGTGTTCATATATAAGTTCTATAGTTATTTAGTTTAATAATTACAAAATGAATAATCAGAGCATAGAACAGTAGTAACTAATTAAACTCAACTATTTTTGCTTGCATAAGATAGCATTAAACTCATTGACAAAACTAAAAATAGCCTTAACAGTGGGCAAAGTTAAGTGTTTTGTCTAGTTTTGAGCCCATCTGCAGTACCCATCTTCAGAGTGTGACTGGTATTATTTTGCAGTTACAGCCTCGCAGCCCATTTTAACTTACTAACTACTAGTTGATGCCAACACCAGAGAAATGTGCAAGTGTTAGCTATTCTACAAATAGATATTATTCTTTAAAGGCATAAAGACAATCGGGCATCCTAACAATTATTATAAAATAACCTTATTATACTTCATAATAAAACAGTTTAATTTTCATTTCACTTATTTATGTGTATACTAAAACTCTGAATAATAAATATAGTTTCCAGCTAACAACTACATAAAGCGTTAGGTTAGGAATAAGGTAGTATGTTGCTGACCTCGCCGACGGAGTTTGCCGGGACAAATTGCCCCGGTGTGCTGTGGCGGCTGTTGTTGCGGGTATTGTCTACAAAAAATAATTTATTGTACTAAACGAACTAAAAAATCTCGTAGGTAAACCCTCAATTGCGCATTATACATGGCATAGAACGAGAATCAATATCACATATAACATAAATGTTACAGTAATTAAACAATACATAACCCCACATATCAAGAACTTAAAGCTTTAAAAAGATATTTATAAATACCTCTAAACGAAATAAACTAAAAAGAAAAAAATAAACTTACATTTGTTAAACATTTGCGTATTTTTAAGCAAACTCACAATATTCAAAACTCTTGTTTGTATTTAAACGGAAACAGTATAAATGTGTTAAATATTATTTTAATATTTAAACTTAAATCAATTTATTTATTAGCAAAATAGCAATAGCAGTCGCACTGACCAGTGCTGCCAGCCAATAAAAAATTTTACCCGTCGTGTACACTGTGCAAAAGCAGTGTTTTTATTCGAGAAAGAACAACGGTAAAGACACTTCTTAAAAATAGAGTAAACCTTAAAACATGAGCTAAAGCTATTTTAACGTATTGAAAATCAATGAAATGTATTGAATTTTCCCCATTTGTTTCATAATAATCACAAGATATTTTATGTGTACAAATTATTGCTAATCAATGATTTGTTTTATTTGTCGCCCAAAAACTATCTTAGAGCTAGATTACCAAAGGAAAACAATCAATTCCATGTAGATTTTCGAAAAGCCGTAAAATCTGGTACAATTGCCGTAGGACACGGCAATTGGCGTAGTATTGGCTACACTGGCACCGACTGCAGTGTTTGTCAAATGTCATTTCAAAACATTGACATCTTTAGTCTAACTTCTATGCCTCTACTTTTCTTTGTCTTTGGCATGGATGTATTACTAGACTAGAACAGGATTGAGCTCTTGTCGAAAAATCGAAGCCGCGCAAGACCTCAATAACTGTCCCTTTTTCCCTCTCTGTCGATTGTAACTAAAGGCCAGTAAATATAAAAATCTTGTTTTTATTGTTAGACGTCAGCTGATTATTGCTTCAGATGGATTTTAGCGTATTAGTTATCATCAATGTATCTTTAAAAACAATACAAAATGCATAATTCTAAATCACACATTGCTAAATAAAAAGTCTTTTGAAGTTTGTAAAGCAAACCTAGCTTATTTCTTATCTTAAATCTGAAATTAAAACAAAGCTATTTTAATGGAGAAAGGAAGAAATAAATGCATAAGTGTTTGTTTGTCCTTGAACTAGGATTGAATAGTCATGCATAGTCACCGCAATTCTTGACCAACAAATTATGTTTAAAACTATTACCTGTGAAAATATAACCCACAGTTAGCATAATACTCGCTTGGGCAAGCCTCCACGGCAAAAATTCTCCCAATTTACCTAGTAATTTTCAAAAATATCACGAAATAAAAAAAAGAGTCCACCACTAATGTTCGAGTCATCATGTCATGTGGGATTGTCAGTTCAGTTCAGGTGTCCGAATTTCAAACAAATAAAAGAAAACCTGTACACCATACGCAAATTTTTATATTAATAAGGTTTTACCCGTAGCAACAAATAATATTGCTTTAACATGTCGGTAATAAATAATTATTAACATTTTAAAAGCACACATTTTACTGCATTCCATTACATCAACTGCCTATTTTTCTACAAACAACGAAAGGATTGATATCTGGCAACTCTAGGTCACTGTTAGAAAGAAACATAGTTAACACTTATAGCCCTCTCACTCGGTTTCAATTATATTTTGCTTGCAACAAGACTTTTACGCCCTTATCATTAGGTTTTATTTTCTTTATTTCAACTGCATGATATACAGATAGAACGCATTCCTGTTCTAGTAGTACTTCCATGGTCTTTGGTTAATAATTTTGACCAATCCCATGATGGGTGCGAGTCACCACTGATATTTGTAAATAGACAGGTATAGGTTTACTTAAACACGCCGTTGGATGTTAATGTTTAAGTTTATCCCTATTATATTATTAGTTCGAAAGCTCTTCTCCGCAACCACTCGTAACATTTAGCAAAAATCAAAGACACAAAATACTTGTTAATAGCCTGTCCATTTATAGAGGTTAGTGGATATAACATTATGCATTTAACTTAAAAATCGTACAAAAACGAAGATTCTTAAAACTTTACATTTTGTTCATCTTCAATTGTGTTCAACATATTCAATAATGACTGTTTTCCGATTTCACAACAGCCACATCTCACTTCAATCATTTTATCAAGAATCTTGTGCAGCATCGTGGTGTACGTGGTACACCATTTTTACACAACACACATGTTCACGCATATGTTTGAAATCTATTACTTTCATAAACAAATTTTACAAGTTCTAAATATCTGATTTCATTGATGTTATCTGACCTTATTCACTAAAGATAAGAGTATATAATTAGGTAATTCACAAGTGACAGTGGAAACATATTTAAAATGAATCATAAACACAATAGAAAAAAACACAGGAAAAAAATAAAACAAATTATAGAAAATAGTTTATTTTTTTAATTTTGCATCTCACAAATATGTAAATTATATTATACACTATTGTACAATATTGATACAACATAAATATTGCACAACAAACAAAAACAAGTAAGGAGTAGCAATATGTACATTGTGTCATTTGCAAAATTTGTATTTGCCAATTAATTGGTCAACAGAAATGTTACCTGTAATATTTTATCATAGAAAATGATTATAAACTAAACATAACATTAATGCTAGTGGGCTGTCCGCAGGTGTTATGACATGCTGTCAATGAGGGATGCTCGCATCGTTGATGTGATGGCTGTGGGCTTCGCATCATTTAATTTGAAAACACTCTCAATCACAGATATTTCAGTAGATGTAGTGTCCATGCCACAGAATGCACACCAGTCATTAACCACCATCCCCGCCGCCACCACTTCACTGCCTCTGTTGACAGTGCCAGCCACCAGCGGCACTTGCAGGAGGGACGAGAGCTCGTCTTGATCCTGTATCGTCGTTTTCGGATGCACAAGCCCACCTCGGTTGCTCAGTGCTATATAGGAGCCTACGAGTACGTTGCCGGCTACCGTTTGCCGAAATACTTCCACATCGAGTGTGTCTGCTAGAATTTCTTCAGTGTCCCGATCGAGGTCCGGATGCACTAGAGCTACGTAGTCGTTACACGCTATAACGTTTCCGAGAGCGCTCAGCCTCTCCTCGACTCGCTGCACTTTGACAGTGTCGGGCAAACTGTTTCTGATGTGTTGCAACTCCGTGTCCGTAGTGGATGACGGTACCAACAGACCGTTCTTGTTGGCGACCGTCATGCGACCAATGATTCGACAGCCCGCTATACTCACATGCACGACGGGAATAGCTTCTGATAATTCCGCTTCGAAAACGCTGTAGAAATTCTCTGAGCCGCCTATTGCGACCATGCAATAAGCATTTGTTAATTTACTAAACACTCCCACTTCGTTATTATTTTCAAATTGTACGCGAACCGCCATGTTTTTAATTAACTTGTTAAGCTTGTTTATGAGCAACGATGAGTAAAAATGAATTACACAAAGTATTTCAATCTTCACGTGCAAGTCTGTTTTAAACGTCGCTTTGACAGCTAAGTGTCAACATACAAAATTCTTCATCTTCGGCGCGATGCACCATGTTGTGCAATCGGTCGCGTTCAAATTTAAAACATTGAAGCAATGGATTTTTGCAATATTATAAAATTGTACTTGAAACATATTGAATAAAAGGATATTATGTCGTTCAAAACGTCTTCAGACCACGGATTTAAAAAATTCCAAATAGCTACAAACGTTTATTCAATCATCAAAAATAGCATTTGACAAACTGAAATCAATGGATTTGTTCGTGACACATTTATATTAGTAACATGTTCCTATAGTTTTTATAACATTTTCCTAACAGAACCGAGCCCCAGAAAATGAATAATGCGTAAAGTGTTCATGCTAAATGATTTTAGCGAAAATGAAGAATGTCCGAGATTTTCAGGAGATATAATACAAAATTTAAGACACGCACTTCTTGCCCCTCCTGAATATAAAATAAACATAGAACAAGCTTTACAAAACGTTGATTTTAAATTTCATAGAAGATGCAGCTACGCCAATCTTATTAGGGTAATATTTTAAAAATAAATGAACTATATAGTGAGCAGCAAAGCTAACTTCCATAACTTCATCCATAATTTCATTTGTACATTTCTTTATAAAATTTGGTGCTTTCCATTTGATTAATCATTAAAAGGAAACCAAAGTAAACACAAATACTAGGATCAGCGTCCCTCTCCGTCAATATAAGCTGTTAAGTAATGAATCGATAATTTTTGTATAGGAGTGTAATGTGGCAGAAGGACAGACCTTGCTGATTTTCTGGGGCTACGGCACTTCTGACAGCGGAATTACAATCATGTCCGCTTCCAGTAGTACCTCAATCCTCATGTCAGTATGTATCATTACTATTTTTACTGCTGCTTACGTTTACGTTTTGTATTTATGGTACCTCTTGAACAACACCATTTATTTGTTAAATCTGGGTTCGTTATAATCGACTAAAGTTGTAATTGAAAATTGAGGTGCTCGTTACGCATCTTATGAGGTGCCCTATCTACGTTTTCTAGCTAAACGTTGTACAATTATAGTTACGTTTTATCTTTACGTAGAAACACTATTCCAGGGACTTATGTAATACCGATAATTTAGTATTTCTTTTGTATCACAATGTCATTAACGGTACATTTTGATGACGTACAGCCGGGAGCGCAGGGTAACCAGCAGCTGCGCTCCACTGGCCAGCAGACCGACATCAGCTGCGGCTACTCCAGCTTCGCTTCGCCAGGTGCTCTTTAGAATACTAATCAAAAGTAGAATAAACAGCACTTAGAACTAGAAGTGGTGCTGCGCCTTAGGATTGTAATAGGCATCGGACCACTTCAATCGATCGTTATTTAAATTGTCAGTAAGCAAACAACGTTGTTTTCGTCATACATTTTTAAACCATTATAATCAGAACAAATTAGTTATTTTTTTAAGAGTGGGAAGTTTTGTTTGGGTCAGGACTAGTGGGCGAGGCGGAGTCGCAGCGCGCGCTGCGCGAGCGGCTGGCGGACTCGCTGAC